ATTCAAACTCTTAACCTAACTTAACCTAAGTTCTGCTTTTATTAAAAAAAAAAAAAAAAAACCAGAGCAGACCAACCAAATTACCTATGTCTGGGACTGCTACGACCTCTTCTTGTTCTCTCTTCAGTTCTCTCATGTAATGATCAGCTTCACTTTTAGCTGCAAGATATCTGCATTTCAAATCAATAAATATAGTTCCTGGTTTGTCAATTCAAGCATATTGAGTAAGTAAGACAGTGTATTATGGGATGTTTGTATCTTTTTCTATGTTTCTTATTTTGTTTTTCTTTTTAGGAATGATAAAACAATATTTTTATTTATATTCTGGATCAAAGTAAAAAAGAGAAAAAGAAACAAAGAAGTTTGTTTTTGTTGTTTTCAAAATTTCTATACATTTTTTTTTTTAAATGAGAAACAAAAAATACAAATAATTGTCAGATGTTCAAGATCCTTTTGAAAATGAGAAACAGAAAATAAAAACGTTTCTCTAAATTTAGAGGTTTAGGGTTTAGGCTTTTTTTTTTTATGTTAGCAAAGTTATTTTGAATACACGACTAAGGCTTTGATACTTTTTTTTTTCTTTCTTCTTTAGGCTTTGATACTGTTTTCTTTTTTCTCTTTCTTCTTTTTGTATTTTTAAAAGCAAGCTTTATATGATTTTATTTTATCCTAAGACCTACTTTTTAAAACAATTTTAAGATCTTAATCAAAATTAGAAGTGTTTGGATGTGTCTCCTCTCCTTTTTTTTTTTAGATTAACCTTATAAAATTGTTTTTAATGCTAAAATAAATTCAATTGTTTCTAATTATATATCAAGCTTAAAAAGATAATAAAACGATTAAAATAAAAGATTCCAGAGCTCAATTTGAAGGGAGAGAGTTCAAAGACTAGAATAAAATAAAATAAATTTAAAGTAAACAATGGTGAATGAATAATTGAGAGAATATGTACCCTCCAAGTCCCATAGAGATGGCTCCGGCGGCAACTTCAGCAATACCGGCAATGAGGATGATCCCGGAGGTTACGTCGGCGCCGGAGAGGCCCGCTGCGAGGGCAAAGGGGACGGTGAGGCCATCGGAGACGCCGATGATAATGTCGCGGACAACTTCACTGGACATGAAGTGCTTCTCCTCATGCTCTTGGAGAAGAAGCTTCTGCTTCTTTGGGTCTGTGCAACCAGCAGTTTCTGCCATTGTTGAATAATTAAGATCTCAAATGGGTGTGAACAAAAACTAAAATGGAGAAATGGGTGTGAACAAAAAAGCAAAGAAATGGCTCATTTTATAGAGAAATGGAAGTGGAAAGAAAAAGTTATTCACAAACAAATTGGATTCTACTTTTTCTAGGGCTGTCTTTGGAACAGAAGAAAATGTGTGTTGAATAAAATTTCAAGAGATGTTTTCATAAATTTAAATGGAAGGATTCATTACCCCGGAAAAGCTATATAGTTATTCCTCCAATTTTGGTATGTTATTAAATGTTGGTTAAGAAAATACTTGAAATGTTCAAATAATTAGTGTTATAATAGTGTTTTATTTTTGTACCTTTTGTGGATTTGGATCGAGATTCGAGATTTCAATATTTCTATCCGGATTTAAATTTCTCACCAAAGTTATTTTAATTAAAGTTTTTAGGGTAAATACATTTTTTATCCACAAGTTTAAAGATCGATGCTTAAAAGTTTTTGAAATCAAACTATTGTTAACATCAACTCATAGTAATTAGGTGGGAGTTTGAAAGATGAAGTGAGATTTGTGGGTAAGTTTAATATTCATGAATCTATTAAATACAAAATTAAAATTCCAATCTAATTCAACAAAATTTAAAACTTCGGATTCTTTTTTAGTACAACAAATAAAAGTGGGAGATTGAATCCACAACCTCTTAGTTGGAGATATATGTCAATTATCGTGCTGAACTAGGTTCAGTTTATTGACTCTGTAAAAATTTTATAGACAAAATTTGTAATTTTAATGAGTGTTATTGTGGGGACCATCGACAGGGGGTGGCGTAGTGAGTTTGTCGTCAAATACCCTCAATTATAAAGATTCGAACTGGCGAAGCTACACGGCATCGATTTCGAATAGAAAAAAAAATAGTGTAATTGTGAGAGAATTTTCCGACCAAGCAAAGAGCAATGATGAGGATGTTACATACAGGGCGTGTGTTAGGCACAGGCTGATGGAAAATGTCAAAAGCAAAATCCAAAGGCGTGTGCGAGCCACAAGCCTTGCTCGTCATTCATTATTATAGGACCAAAAATCCACTCTCACCAAAATTCACCAATTTAATTTTCACAAAATCAAACCCATTTCCACATTTTTATTCAAAAAAAGAAATAGCCCCAATAAAATAAATTCAAACCCTTCTTTTCATCTATAATCGTAGTTAATCGTGATTGTTTAATCCAATGTCCATACATCAAAAAGAGTAAATTTACTCTAAAATTTTAAAATTGAATTGAATATATATTTTTTTTTTTGGTTCAGATCTATCTTTAATTATAATGTAATTGGGAAAAGTGGAGATAAGATAATGAAAAAGTTTGGGCATGAAATGGAGTGGGGAAAAAGTTGACTTTAAATAAAGGAAATTTCAGAAAAGAAGAAATTGAAAGGCTGTTACTGACCCCCCAGTGTCTAACTGGGGCTGGTTCTTTCTGCCATACAAAACTTCAAGTTTTGGAATCGAATCTTATGGTACCGTTATATTAATTTTAATACGGTGGGTCTTCAAATGCTAAATTATTCTTTTAACGTCTGTCGTATCCAGTTTCAATTTTGTCCATATGATTTTAAAAGATTGACGGTTGTTTTTTGTGATACGTTTTCGTTGGATATAGAGATGTAATAAGAGGACGAGCTAGCATCGCCTAAAGAAAAGTGCCAACATGTACTACATTTCAGAACATTTTAACTAACTAAATTATAGCAACCGATCAAAACCAAATACAAAGTATATATGGACTAAAATGGTAATATGATAATTTGAAAACCACACCATCAAATTTAACCTTTTTTTTTAATAAAAGAAAATTAAATTAATTTAGTCTAATAAATTTATTAATGGTGCTGATTAGGCATATTCAATTGTTAATGAACTATATATAGGATTCATTTGATGTAATATTCTAAAAAAAATTATTAATGCCGGGTAGTTTTGTCGAAATTTGGCCAACCTCGATTAAGGTATAAATCTTGAACCAAAAAATGTCAGAAAGTTCGAATCCTCACACATATTATTGAACCAAAAAATACTTTGTCCAAATTCATTGGTTTAAAGATTTTATTTTCAGTTTAAACATCATCCTCTCTTTGTTAGAATAGGAAATTTTTCGAGATCTTTGTTTTTTATTTCAAATCTTACCATTTGAAATAATTTTAATTTATCAGAGTTTTGAGCAAAGAAAGGTCATCTCATTTTTCTTCTTTTATCTCAAATAATGAAATCGTTTAGTGAAGCTTAGAGCTATTTTTTACTGAGAAATCTTGGTCGTTTGAATGTGACTCATAAATTACTCATTTCTTTATAAAAGTTAAATTAAATAAATTTGGAGAATAATAAAATGAATATAATAATTAGAGGCCTGAAATATGGAGAATATATGTGTAAGAGAGAAGGGAGAATATTTAAACAATGTTTTGTCACATAAAAAAAATGGTTACAATTTTTTTTTTGTTAAATATTTTATTATCATAAGAAAATATTTATAAAAAAAAATTACATACACGTCATTTTTCTGTAAACTAACAACATTATCAAAATGAAATATTTTGGAACTTAAAAGACTAAAAAAGCAATGAATTTCTTCCCTTACCAAAAAACATTATATTAACAAATGATTTAATTTTCTTATTTCTAATTATTTAATTATTATATTACTTAGATATTTCTAATTATTAATTTTTAACCAAATTACAATATAAGTGTGAATGGAAGAATGTTACATTTGATGGTATGTTGAAAAAGAGGAGGTTTAATTAATGAGAAATTTGGTATTATTTAATTAATTATTTAAGAAAGAAGAGTCAAAACAAAACACGTCATTGTTAAAATAATGATAAAGGGCGAGATTCCTTAGGCGTGTGTGAGCCACACGGCAGCACTAAACTTGCTGTTTGGTAACTGAGAAAATCCAAGAAAAAAAGTTTCCCGGAAAGTAAGAAAGAAAAGATGGATTGAAATGATAAGGACACAAAAATGGGATCTCCAAACTTTATTATCACCACGACCACAAGGTTCCTAGAATTTGGACTCTCCTTAATCAAATTTTTTCTAAGATTGTTGGGAATTTTTTTTTTCAATTTAGTTCCTGTCATTTAAAAATTTTAATTTAATCTTTTATGTTTTAACATTTTTCATTTGTGTCTTCCATTGTTGGTGAATGTTTAGATTATCTGATGATAAACTTACTTAACATAATACATAATACATGATGAATGGATAGAAATTTAGAAGAAAAAAATGTCACCAAAAGAAAAAACTTGAAGTTTCATGACAATATGGGGAAGAAAGTAGAAAATTCTCTTTTAGATAATCATTTTTTTGCTAAATTTTTGTCAATTCAAGTAATTCTAATATTTACTGGTGGTTAAAGACTAAATTAAAAAATGTTAAAATATTAGGAATTAAAATTAGAATTTTTTAAATAATAGGGACTAAGTTGAAAAAATACCACAACATTAGAAACTAAAACATATATTTAATCTAATATTTTTTTAAAAGAAATCTTAAATTTTATTGGGTTTAATTTCCATGCTCATTAATGAATTTTTATATTTATTATATTTTGTTTGAATTTTATTTTCATCCGCCAACTTTCATTTTTATTTTGGCCTCTAAATTTAAAAAATATCATTTTTAATTATTAAACTTTTAGATAATTAAACTATTTTAAACAAATTACTACTTCCATCCCTAAACTTTTGGAATATAACTATTCTAATATTATTCATATCCATTTTAGAAAATTTATATGACCGACTAGAATCAAAGTAGTCACATTACTTGATAATTAATTTCAAAATATATATTTTGTTTTATTCCCTAAATTCTATGCTTATATGAATGTAATAAAAATCATAGGTCATGTTAGCTTTAAAATTTCATACCAAATTCTATATGTGTGGCTTAAATGCAAATCATCATATTCTATAATATTTTTCCATTACATATACCTCGGAAAATTTATCCGTAAGAATCCAGATGAACCTTTCGTGAAAAGCTTTTCAATTTTGGTTCCTTATCATTAAATTTGTGAATTATATATTTAAGAGAAATCATAAACATTTGTACTTCAAAGTTTAAAACCAAAATATCTACTTCTATACATATATATATATATAGCATCATTACAAAACTATGAAAATTTTGCAACTAAAGATGAAAATGAATCTATTACACAAAATTTAAAGACTAAAATCCTATAGCATATTTTAATATTGTAGATATACATCAATTTGTTCACATTTGAATAAGGCCAACCTAAAGTTGTGAATGACAATTCCACTTACAAAAAAGTCTCGACGATGTGTTTTTTCTTTTTTTGAATTTTCTCTTTTTAGAAAACGATACAAAATTATGAGGTGAGAAAAAAGGTTTGAACTTTAGTAAAAGTATAAAGAAAGAAGCCCAATAGCCATATTATTGGGTTTAAAGAAGCAAAAAAGTGAAGCTAAGGAGTGTGGCCACCACGTTCTGAATTCAACCCAATAAATGCCCTTAGCTCAACATATTTATATATAAATCTAATCTTTCACCTTTTTTAAAGAATCTTGTTTTGCCTTTATCAGCATCTAATGGCTACAAACATTATTCTAATTTATGGTTTGTTTTTATATTCATCCACTGAACCCGACGAAGATATTACTAATGTCTTGACTAATTGAGTTTCTAGATTGAATAAACTATTTTAGTTAAATATTGTTAACTAAAGTGAGAGATTAAAAAATATTAGTAGACTTAAGAATGCCCCTACCAAAGAATTGGACGAGAGGTGCATCCACAAATATTAGTTAATAGTTGATCATGTTTTGTTAAGTACCCATAATACAACTTGAGAAGCTAATATGTATAGCATTAACTAGTGTAGAGAAAATTTGCACCCAATAGTCATCATGTTACGTACGATGTACAAGCAAGTTACAACGATAGTTGTGACGTGCTTGCTTTGGCATGCTTATGCTTTAGCGGGTCATGTCATGATCAATTACTGTTAGTGCATTATCTTCTGAGCTTATTGAGATGATGATGATAGAAAAGATGAAAGCT